GAGTGCTAGGATTACAGGCGTGAGCCACCACGCCCGGCCTGAAACATTCACTCTTATGGAATATTGCCAAGGGACAGGAAGAGACTCACACACGGGATGGCACATATGGTCCACAGAGCATCTCTCATCAGCACCTAGATGCTCGGTCCTATATGCAAACAGAGACCTGGGAAGGTGAAGGTGCTTGCCAGGTTGGTACAGCTCGTCAAAAGTTGGAACAGCCCTTCCATCCCCAGTCCCAGGGCTTCCTGCTGGCTGGGGCTGGCCCTCTGCTTTCGCCTCTTGCTGCCCCAGAATCCCAACTTGCTGTGGGGCCATAGGCCGGTCCCTCTTTTACCTCAGAGTTCTCGTAGACCAAGCAGCTGGCTCTGGAGCAGGAGCACGATTAATTCGGGTCTTTCCAAGTAACAGCACCCTCATATAAGGCCCCCACTGCTCTTCTTGATCCAGCCAGCACTTATAGTCTCGGCGTGACAGTGGGACTACCCCAAGATTTGGATCTACATCAGCGCCTCCTCCTTCAGTCTTATCATGTATGACAAGCACCGAGGACTAAGTGTGTCTATGGTCCACCAGTACCACACATAGTGCTCTCGGTCCCCTCGTGTGAAACCCTCTCAGGATGGGAGCACTCGCCCACAACCCCACCGGTGGCAGATAATCCTTAGTCCCAATTATTCTAGGAAAATTGAGACCTAACGGCTCAATAATAGCATCTAGGCCTCCTCATCATCTCCTTTTGGCCACTTTGTTATGTAACAATTATTAAAATAGCTTATCACCACGTCATTCACATGACAACTATCTCAATGACCCTCCAGAGAATCCTAAAAATTATTGTCAGTTGTTCTAGCATTTTCTTTTTTTTCTTAGCAAAACATAAACTTCAGAATTTGTGACTAAGTTATTTTCATTTAATTCTGGTGAAATTTGGTAGCATAATCATTGTCTCCATGTCACAGCAAACTGAGCTCAGAATGGAGAAGTGACTTGCCATTCTCACGCTAGTGGGAGGACAGAGCAGGAATTCAAAGCGGGTCTCTCTGAGCCCCCGTTTTTCCCACTCTGCCATTCTGCCTCCATGTTGCTCTCATTCAACCAGCAACAAATGTGGCACTGAGCGCTTACGTCAGGGAGAAATAAAAATAAGAAAAGTAACGCAGTCAGTCTCTGCCCTCGTAGAGCTCACAGCAGGGGGAAGAGGAGCTGAACAAATAAATACCCGCACAGAAACCATTAACCCATGCGCAATGCTATGCAGGAAACAAACAGGGGCAGGGGAGAGGACAGCTGGTTCAGGTTTGGGTGGCCAGGAATGCTCTTTAGAACAGGGCTCAGAAGGACAGGGCATCAGGAGGCTGCATGGCAATCTGCCTGTCTACCCTGCCCTTCTAGAGAACCCACTCTGTAGCCCTGCTTCGTGCCCAAAGCAGGAGGCTCTCTGCCCTTCTCCCTGCCCCCTGGCCAGAATTTCAGGCAGCTACCACAACTGGGGAGGTTCCAGAAGCCACTCTACCACCCTTGCTCTTGGACATGGGTAGCACCACCTGGAGCCTCGGGCCAACGGTCACTCTGCATTCTATGCACCAATTGATGATATATACATTAGCTTGTGGTTTCTGTGGTAGTGGGTGCCATAGTTACATAGTGAGCCGCAGGAGTGTGGGTCATTCCCGGGTCTTGGACTGTTCATCCTCTGGGAGTCCCAGCTACCACAGCCCTCTTGTTCTATGCTGTGTATTCATATAGGTAATGGGTTTGTCAGAAGAAATATATCTATATTGAATGAAATAAATAATATACCACCCATTTTGATCCAACCCATGGCTAATTACTGTCCTGTACGTCGTTAACCAGAAGTGTGGTGAGTGGTTGAAGTGGGCTGAATTTTAGATGGATGAAAGTTGAGGTAAGCTCATAAAGAGCGAAGTGAACAGGGATCTAGACGCGCTCGCTGGAGGTATGCTAATAGTACATATCTTTGACTTGTCGTATATAAATTGCCATCACATAATGAAGACATACAAAGAATATGGTGGCCTCGCCTCCCAGATTATAACTAAGAGGCATAGACTCGCGGTTCGCCGCACAAGGGACCTACCACTTTTGTGGCCTCAAGCTTTGTCCCTTTGGAGAGACTGAGCGCAGACAAATGATACAAGCGGTTAGCAGTTGAGCTCGCTCGGAGGCTGGGCAATGGCCTGGCTTCCTGTCTTTTGTCCCGGCTGGGGAGTGCGCTGTCATGTGTGTCCTCTGTGGCCCTCCTCCCCCTCCATGCATACCACATGCTGGTGGGTCTTGGTCCGTGGCCTTTGTGCGCTCCCACTCATAACAGACTCGTACGCACTCCACTTTCACTCTCCATACGTCAGGTTTCTTCGTGCTGTGATGGGAGAAATATGTTTAATCAGCAGCATCATACTGTCGCAGGGTAAGTAAGATACAAATCTTCACATGAGGGTAGGAGATTACTGCTATTGCTGCAGTTAGACCTCATTGTCCTTGACGCACTTAGATGACTCAGTGGAATAAAATGGTTTTTTTTTTTGTTTTTTTTGTTTGAGACGTAGTCTCATTTCTGTTCCCAGCTAGAGTGCCGTGCATTCAGCCTAGGCTCACCGCACGCTCCACACTCCTGGGGCTCAATGGACCTTCTAGCTCAGACTCTCTGATCTTCATTATGGCTGGAAAAGGTACAGATCTGTGCGCCACCAATTGCTCTTTGGATAAATTTTATTTATCATATATAAATTTAGTATGTCCTTAATTTATTTCTTATTTGCTTAAGTAGAATCGGGGTGCTAAGTCGTGCTCATTGCTCAAGACTAGGTTTCGAACTCTGGGCATTTTAAAAAAAAAAAAAGAAAAAAAACATTCTAGGCATTAGGATATGGGCATTTTGGGCGAGGGTCATTATTCTGCCTGCCACAGTGACTTTGAAGATTTTCCTTAATCTATTTATTTACTCATTATGACCTATGGCACTGGTACTCAGTATATGTCAAGACAACATTGAAGAGGAAAAATATTTCCTATGATTTCTTCCTAACAGTTTTATTGAGATGTAATTCACATACCATATAATTTAATCATTCAAAGCATACAATTCAATGGTTTTAGTATAGTCATAGAGTTGTGCAACTATCACCATAATCAATTTTAGAATATTTTTATCTTTCTCTTATTTTTACATATGAGGAAACAGAGGTCTGAGACATTAAGGAAACTTGTTTAGGGTAACATCTACCTGGCAGGGTTGGGGGCATTGAAGTGGCTGTCAGTAGCTGAGATTCCAGTCCAGGCTCTGCCTTTCATGAAGTTAGGCTAGTCGCCTGGGAGCAGTGAGGTATGATAGCTAAGCAGGTGTAGCTGTTAAGCAAGCAGGCAACCTGGGTTCAAGGCTTGGTCTTGCTATCTAATATATAAGTGATGTGACCTTCAGTAAAACTTCTTGGAGCCTTAGTTTTTTTTTTTTTTTTTTTTTTTTTTTTTTTAAGATGCCCAAAATGATGAGTGCTAAGGCCTGGCACAGTGGTTCACGCCTGTAATCCCAGCACTTTTGGAGCTGAGGCAGGAAGCTCACTTGAGGCCAGGATTTGAATCAGCCTGGGCAACAGCGAAACTCCATCTCTACAAAAAAATAGAAAATTAGCTGGGGTTGGTGGCGTATGCCTGTAGTCTCCAGCTACTCGGAGGCCGAGGCAGAAGATCACTGGGAGCCCAGGAGTTTGAGGTTGCTGTGAGTATAATGATGCCACTCACTCTGCCCAGGCAACAGAGCCACACCCTATCTCAAAAAAAAAAAAAGTATGAGTGCTAATTATTATTTCTACTACCACTGCTAAATGGAGCAGCCTTCAGTTTTCTGAAACATTCACTCTTTTTTTTTGAGACGAGTCTCGCTTTTTGCCCAGGCTAGAGAAGTGCTGTGCATCAGCCTAGCTCACAGCAACCTCAAACTCCTGGGCTCAAGCAATCCTGCTGCCTCAGCCTCCCGAGTAGCTGGGACTACAGGCATGTGCCACCATGCCGGCTAATTTTTTCTATATAATTATGCCAC